CCCCAAAACCCCAAAACCCCAAAACCCCATGATAAATAATTCAAGAGTTTTCTCGAAATATATTTTTATGATTAATTAAGAAATATTCGGCTTTCCATTTAGATTAAAAGTTTCATCAATAATTTTCAAAAGACTATATTTTTCATTATATTTAAGATAAAATATAGAGTCTTTTGCAAAAATATTAATAATAGAATCTTTGATTAGTTCTATGAGTGATTTCTTAGAATTCTCTATATTTTGCGACTAATTCATAGATCAACAAAGTGAAGTACAAATTGAAAAAGACTAACATTACAATGGGTACTAGACAAAAAATTAAATAGTTTAAAATTTGGAAAGCTTTCAGATCCATTAAATCAATTGGTAAAGCGAAGCAAATAATCGAATCTCCAATAACAATTTTGTTGCATTTCCTCATGAATCAACTCATGATATTCCAGATTTCGCTGAAAGTATTATTCAGAGTTACAAAACTAACTCAAACGTGAATTTAATTCATAAATGCAAAGATGATGATCATCATGATTATAAATGCATTCATCAAGACATGGAGACCTCATCTTTCATTTAAAAATTCAGTAATCAGATAGACTAAGATTACAAATGCCATAATTTCAATTATTTTCCAATGATTCAGTTCTCAGAGTAATAAAAATAATCAACTAATACGTAATCATTACTAGACTCATCCATTCAACAAGATGAATTAGACAAACTTCCTTTATAAGATGAAGATTAGTTTGAGAGTACGAAATAATAGAAAAATTTTGATTTTCTGGAAAATTCTTTGAAATCAGCAAAAAATAATGATCAATTAGTTAAGTTTGAATAATGTCAACAAATTAAAGGCAAACTGGTCTTTAAAGAGAAAGAAACAAACTGAGAAGGAAAAAAATAAATTTTTAGATATCTAAAGAAAATAATGACTTTGAAAATTCACAAAAATGATCTCATAATGATAAAATCTCAATTGTCGCTTAATGAATAAGAGTTTTCATAACTCATCAGTGAATTTGGCAACTCTTATTTAATCTATAATAACAATGAAGAAAACAAGCAATAATCAAAAGATTCATTGAGAAAGAGAGGTAGAAAGAAAGGTTCTAAAAATAAGGTGAAGATCGACTCCTAGATTATTATGAAATCAGACAGTGAAACCTCAAATTCAAGAAAAAGAGGGCCACCCAAAAAGCTAACTCAGCAATAGATAAATTAATTGACAGCTATTTAGCTTGTTTGCTATAGATACACTAAATTCGCTTGCTAGTAGTTCCTTAGGAATGAAGTTTACTACAATCTCCTAAGAGCTGCAAAACCATTCATTTTGAAATTAGACAAAACAAATATTAAAATGATAGAGCAAGTATTAAATAAAATGCTTGAGCTTGGCTTGAAACTAAGAAATAACCAATTCGGATTAGTCTGATATTTAATATTAAATTTGCAAAATTAAACATTAAATGAAACATTAATAATTAGTTAATTAGTACTTATGGGGTTTTGGGGTTTTGGGG